GGTAGGCTGTCTACATACGGTGTTTGTGTTAAGTCAACGTTGTGAAGTGGGAGGTTTGTGGGTTAGGTACACTTGCTTTCTGGTTCCCCATTAAAGACTATCTTCTAGATTGTTACGGATGGTGTATGCTGGCGTAAAGTTGAGATCTGAGCAACCTTTGGGGCGTAACACGATCCCTTTTATTTGTCGTCCCTCCGTTGCAGCAGTGATGGCAGGTTCCTAAACGATGGTATAGGTTGACTGGCTAGTTGAATGGGTAGTTCCTTAGCTGCTTGTTTCGAACTTGATCATTTTTTTTCCTCCCGAGTGAGTCAATCAGAAACATTCTTAAACACAGAGAGTTACACGGTTGTAGCTATGTTGCGCGTAAACACTCATCTCGGCGAATAAAGTCAAGATTGGTTGAGGCAGTCCAAACATTAGCCATTGTGTAGTTAGCTGCTTTCTTGATGACCCGAGCAGTTCGGGGTCGTCGACCCCCAGGTGATTTTGGTCAGCCAATTTCTTTTATATAAGTTTGAAAATCGCTAATGAGGCCAGACTTTGAACCAACGTAGATGTAGGAAGAAATACATTTTTATTAAACTTACAAGATGGTGGAGTAGACGTTTTAATCTTAGGTATATTCTCATTTAACGCAGAGTTCAGCATAATCGCTGATACCCGGCTTTCCGAAAAAGTTTTAGTAATCCCCGGGCAAACAGCCGATTTTTAATCTCCTCAACACGTATGTCTGACTGGGGAAGTAGGCGGAAATAAGATTACTCTTCTTTCTCGTCAATGTTGACCGATACATTTACTTTAGAGTCATCCGTAGTGATAGTGGTGGAAAGCATTTAAAATCTTTAGCACACGGTATCTCTTTGATTTCAGCCTTATAACTACAATCCGCCTTCTCCATGGTCGGACAATGGAGAGGTCGTTGCTCTGAAATATCTTCACACTCAATGTGTGACTACTCTTGGTCATCGTCTACTTTTATTTCTGCCAACAACATGTCAGTTAGTATTTCCTCTCATGTTCACTTTTTACAAGCTTAGCAACAACAATCTATTGCTAAAGTCCCAATCTGATGGACCTTCTTAGCATGACATGGTTTAAAAATATATTTCGCTCATACACAATAATCTAAAAATATGCTACCGTATTAATCAATTAGTTCATGACATATTTTTGCAATTTCCAGTGAAGTTCTTAGGCCTTAAACTGAAAATGTCCTTTTCATTCTGTCAGTAAGTCCAGCATAGTTTCCCTTTGGCACATCCATTCACAGATAACCCCAAAGATCCGCCGTCCTTGAAATTATTTGAGCCATTATGATTTAACAATTCACAAATGCACCTATCAAAATGATTATATTTCATTACAAAATATCGGGTAATTCCAAAGTATTATATAAATAGCCAAGTGTAATGTCAAGCAAACTAATACCGTATGATATAGTAAATGAAACAATCACAATTCAAACGTTTTGCCAATTAAAGTACATTAATCGCCAATAAAACATACTAATATTTTGTCGTCATGACTTTGACAACCGGCTTCACGCGTCACCAAAATTTTATCGGAAACCAAACAAACTCCGATATCTTATCAAAGGTTATTCCAATCATGTTATAACTGATTCTGAATTTTACCTAATTCATCGAATAAAACGCAATTTAAGCTTGAACACTTCCCTTTGACAACTGGCATCGCTAGCAGCCATATTTTCCATATTTTTTTCTACTTGAGCAGAATTTGATGGGCAATCAAACACCGATATTTGATCAAACATTAATTCAATCGGGTCATAATTGATGACGTCTTCGTCTGTCATACACCTCAAAGATGATTTATTTCAAAACAATCTGATCTTGATTCAGTTATGTACACCTAATCATGTCATCAGCGACCTGTTTCTTTCACCCAACAATTCCTATTGATTTTACATAGGTGAGATATTGCTGATCGATAAGATGTAACCAGTAGTCTAGCTAATGCCGATCACTGACGAGTATAGTAAATCTATTTAGGATAGAGTGTGCTCAGTAGGAATGTATACCGAACGCATATCAATGATAACTATGACTAATGATGTGTCCCATATCTACATACATAATAAAAACGCACAGGTTGGAATTTCCATGCATCAGAAATGGATCAAATTCAAATCATATGCGTCAAACTGGAGGTTACGTATCTATTGAGAACCATTTTATATGTACATGCATTATCAATACGAAAACATGAGGGCACGAATCTGTTGAGAACTCCGTTACTTGCACATTTATTATCAATACATGGAGATCACAAGTCCTATTAATGAGTATATTTGGCCAAAATAGAACTGTAAACAATTAACACAAATAAAATAAAAGCAAATTAAATACTAACTTGCCAGTCAAAAAAGCATATACAAAATGAACTGAATACCAGATTAACGAAATAACAATAAAAATAGGGGGTGAAGATTGATGACTTAATAAATGCAAATTAATAAACACAAATCGAGAATAAAAAATTCACACGGTGAATTCAAATAGTGAAGTCGCAAAGATCATATCAATTTAAATATCAGATGTATTAGCGCTAATGACTGCTTTGTGATGACGAGTCACATAAAGCAAATGAAAACTAAATATAACGCTAAAGTAAATGCAGATTACAAATTAGAACCTTTGAACCTTTGATATATATATATATATATATATATATATATATATATATATATATAATATATATATATATATATATATATATATATATATATATATATATATATATATATTATATATATATATATATATATATATATATATATATATATATATATATATAATATATATATATATATATATATATATATATATATATATATATATTATATATATATATATATATATATATATATATATATATATATATATATATATATATATATATATATATATATATATATATCAAATCATATGGCGAATAACAACCTTTTCCCCTTTCAAGCGCACTGGATACAGCAAGGGATCACGTGTGTCAGGGATTGATTGAGAGAGATGCAATAAACTGACAACGAACAGTGCAAAACTAGTAACTAACTAGCCTGAGCGCTTTCGACTCTTAATGAGTCTTTTTCAAAGGCATATACAAAACATAGACAAAATAAACAAGTAAACATAAAAAACGTTGTGTTTGTAAAACTCTAAATGGCTGCCTCTACATGAATTAAACCTATAGATACATTATATCTCAACCAACCTGTACAAACTTGTTGCGAATACTGAAAGATGTTTCTATTTCCCTAGAAATCTGAGCCATAGCGACATCTATTACTTTTTATACTTTTATGTAACGTAGATTCTATACCGGATATTTTATTCCTATATTAGTAATTAGAGGATACTAAGAAGATTTAGAAAAGTTTGAAACAAAACGGTCGGCTGCAAAGACTAATTCTACTAGTGCATCGCTTTTGTATATTCTTTTTGGTTTAGACCGCTTGGTTTCATGGTTCTAAGGCGGTGTGTCCAGATTCCTTTTCCTTCCAGGTTTCGTAACTACATCTGGGGTTGTTAGCAATTGAGATAAGTGTTATATGGCTATAAACTGCCCCACCTCTCTCTCTCTCTCTCTCTCTCTCTCTCTCTCTCTCTCTCTCTCTCTCTCTCTCTCTCTCTCTCTCTCTCTCTCTCTCTCTCACACACACACACACACACACACACACACACACACACACACACTATCGATGGTCATTATTTCTTAGTCACATTAGTATGATGATAGTAGGGCATTCTCGTCAGTGTTCTCCATCCCAGAAATTGCCGTTAGAAATGCATAGTCTTGCTTGTTTCAGAATTTTATTCATTAGGAAAAAGACATTATAATAAGTAACGTCCGACTAAGACATTTAGACTGCATTTGTTTAAATGAATCAATATGGTCTGTCAAGTTTGTGAGATAGTCATAAATAGTTAGCTGCTAGTTCACCTGTCTATATATGGGTTGTTTTCACAGACGTGATGATTATGTACGTTAATAACCACAATGCAAAATGCACCACCATTTTGAGTCGCTAACAAACCTTTATCAACACAGGTCATCAAGCATATGCAAAATAAAAATTTGATTTAATTATCGATAAGGATGTCTACATAATCAAAATGATAAATGGATTATGCTTGAAATTATGTGTCCCTATAGAACGAAAATAAAATAAAACTAAGTTCCCTGGTTTATATCGAAAGACATAAAAGTGAAATTGAACCGTAATCGTGTATATTGCTATCAAATATATCTGCAGCTATTTTTAAAAAAAAATATAAACAGATAATATTGACAGACAAAAATATTTTGTATCAATAAACTTGTCACATTGAAAGAGTATTTCCGGACAATTATCTTCGGGATACAATAATAGTCACGGAAATAAAAGTTCGTAGCATGTGTATTTGATGAATACATACTTTTAGCGAAAACGTGTGCTTGTGCCAAAGACAGCTGATAAACCAATTTTATTAAGTACGGTCAAATATTGTATTTGTGGTAGAGATGATGGACGTAGGATGATATTGAATGTGAGCGATAATTATTCAAAAATGTTTCATTTTCAGTGTATTAAAACTAAACATTTGCCTAACGGAGCATGACTTTGTACAGAACGTCAAAACCGATTATTCTTTAAATGCTTTTAGAAATATGAAATTATGTATTAACGATCGTTTTGTTTTTAATTTGAACTATAACTAAATGAATAATTTCAGCCGATGTAAATTGAAAATCATTACGTTTCTACCTGTTTATGTATCCATTTGTTTATGCGTCTGTTTTTTGTTGATTGATCTATTCGCTTATGAAAGAATAACAATGATCATTGATATGTTAATGTTTTACTTGAAGAAAAAACGGGAAAGTCAAACATTTGACATGCACAACAGAATGTGATGTATTATTATATCCTTACGCACAATATGAGACTTGTCATGATAATTATGTGAAAAGAACAATGTTGTTAAGTACTTCTCAGGGGGCCTAGCGGTTAGAGCATCCGCCTCGGATGCGGAAGGTCGGGGGTTCAATCGCCGGTCAAGTCACACCAAAGACATCACTATAAACTGCCACACTGCAGACATCTTAGCGATATGATTGAAAAATTGTTAAAGCTACGTTTAAAAATTATAAACACACACCACACCACAAAGGTTTGAGACTCAAAATGGCGGATATGGAAGTACACGCGTTTTGTGATGTCACGTGAAAACAACGGAAGCGGAACAGCTACACAGCTCACTTTTGGCTAGTAAGATGTCGATTCACAACGTAAATATCTGGGCAGACGTCTTACACTGTAGGACAACAAAGGCCGGTTGCATAACAAGACCGATCCCTTTCGGTCATATTCACCTGTTAATTTTGGGGACTATTAATGTAGCTTTTTATATAGACAACGATTTAAATCAATCCAAAAATACGGCTATTAAAATAATACCTGATTCAATTGTTTCCCTTGGGAACCTGTTTAGATCTTTTCAGCAATCCTTGGAAGTATATTCAGGCTAAAATCAGAGCACCCCTCACCGCACTGTCGTTTTACAGACCTAAGAATTATATTAATATTAAGAAGTTATGGTAAATGATCGCAACACATACTGATCCTGGTCAGCTTTCTAACTGGCAAGAAAATCAGTGACAAAGGTGAAAATGATTGAACAATGCCTAGTAGATTACATCCATACACCGTGCATACCCTAAATGATACGATCACAGCGCTGTCAAACAGGAACTAAGTTAAAAGAAAGAAATATATTAACACTTTTGTACTAAAGTCTTTGGTAATATGAACACAGTTTACCTTGTCGCCAATTTGTTACGCGGGCCTGATCTTTAAACATATATATGAATAAAATAAAACAAATAAATAAAACCTTTAAATTTGTGGACACCTCTATTCCAGGTCCAATGCAGCGGATGAGGTTAAAATATGGCAGTCACATATTATTGCACCTTTCAGGTTTTCACTTGAATGAGAGGTTCCCAATGTCAAGTGAAATACGGTGTCGGTATAACCTTTTGTCGATTTTTAGGAGATCCGGCACGTGCAAAATACATTTATAGATATGATGGCATGCTTGTTCTAGCGTATGTGAAGTTATTACACTGCAAGCATAGTATGTGCATCAGAAGAATGCACAAGTTGTGTTCAAAGAAAGTAATATTGTTTTCAAATGGTCTTATGCATTTAGATTATGTTATTTACTACTTCAAATTGCCAAGTAGTAGTATAATAATATATTATTTTCAATTATCTTACTGATCATATTAAGCCTTCTACCCTTTACGACCTTATCTTCATATTACATGCGCGCATGGGCGACCCACAGAGAAGCATGGGCCACTTGTCCCCCCATTCCACTTTTAACATGTTTTCGTCTACACCCGTAAAATGTAATAGCTGTCCATTTCATGTTTGCCCATCCCCCTACCGATAATAATTTTGCGGGCGCTCCTGCAAGTGCACTCAGGCAAGTGAATGCGTAAGAGTTACTACAAATAGTAGTAATATATGTCACTATAGGGACAAAGGGACTTACCTTTTAATGGCGGAAAAGAAAAGTAAGGGCAATGGGAATTTAACATTTGAATGGCACTTGGGGGACAATAAGAGTTAAATATGGATATAGCACTTTGGGGAAAATGGTAATTTACCAAAAGAGGGCACTTGAGGGACAATTGGAATATATCATGGCTGACCTGATGGGATTTATACTAACTAAAGGGCTTATAGAGACATAAAGAGGGTGTATGGGGATAACAAAGCATACACAGGTAAAAAAAAACAAGCAAACAAACAAACAAACAAACAAAAATTGTTGGCAATGAGTATATCTTTTTGAGGCATTTGGGGGTTGTTAGCCCAATAGAATTAACATACAGTGTATCACACTGGTCTTCTTCTCGTCCTCAAATTTCATCTGATAGCAGGACTGTACATCAAGATTCAAGACTTTTTAGACAATATTACTTCTCTACATAAATCATTATCTTCCAAATAGTCGTATATGTTATCTTCGTGATAGCTCATGATGATTTCACATACATGGTGTAGTCCAGGCTGAACTGCATCCCCGACAATAGGGTAGACGTCTCAAAGTTTGTCCATATCTTGTCATTGGAAGAGTTGAATTTATAAAGCGAGCCGTTGGTATTTGTATTCTTAGAGCACCTAGAAACTTATCGAAATCTTTCACCAATCCAAACGTGCGTTACAAAATTAGGATAGAGCTCGGAGTCTCTTTTTCAATCAGATGAAAGCTGTGTATGACGTCACGTGCAGTCTGTAGGTGCCCTAGATTGTCGATACGACATAGTTGGAGCATGGATGAAACTAAGAAGATTTATTGAGGTGCATCTGTAGTGGAGACAAAGAGCGATGGTGTGACAGCTACCAAAACAACCACAAATACGTCCAGAAGAAACCGATTTTATTTGGGATTTCTCTTCTTTTTTTTCTTTCCTCATCGCAAGAATTTATATTCAGATTGTTCTTGATGTCCATTTATTCTTAGTGAAACCTCAGAAACACCGTGATTATCAAATATCATAATACTACGCGTTTGATCATTTATTCGTGCAGTATCTTGAAATGCAATAAATATGTGTCGCGGTACAGAAACACCTTGCTGAGAAGCTATCTGCCATGTAAATAAACCGTTGATATTACTCTGGATAGCATCTGTGGTCATTGTTAACCATGATAATGCTGATTTACCACCTTGATCCATAAAAGAAAGTAACCGTTGTTCTTCAGATATCGAAGGGGATATTGCTGACATCCACAGGGAAAGTTTTGTTAGCACTACAATACCAGGATCATCAGCGGGTCTCCATATTGCATCATCGTCGGTACTTTTTCGTACGAGTACAACTGTATGTTTAGCTCCGAATATAACCTTTCGTACATGTCTGCAGAATCCAAAGATATGTTACAGTGGAATTGCACATGAAAATGCTCTCCTATTTCCTTTTAACATCGCTCGACGTGATCTAAATCCTAAGTTGAAATCTGGATCAACATTAATAATCATTCTCTCTACATCCGCATCGCTGTTTCTGGCAAAATTTCTTGGTCGTCATATTTCATATTGTTGGCATTCTGGAGAATTAGAGGTGTCTTTTACAAACATCATTGATGGACCAGCTGATCTTGAATAATCGTCACTGTATCTTGCAAGACCAAGTATTGTTGTAGCAACGTCAACGTCTTTTTGAATTGATTTAATATTTTGTTCCGTCAATCATGTACGTAGCGCTATCAAACAACGCCATAATACCATTATTAACAAAACCAACACTAGCATCGTCTGCATATGCTATTGGTGCTGCAGGATTAGCGTTATTTAAAACTTCACCTTCAATCTCAATAAATGCTTCAGCGGGTAAGAAATATCTACTTTTATATTCTGAACATGTAGTTCAATTCGTCCATGCTGATCTGGAATTCGTGCGTCATAAGAATAATACTGATAATAGCGCAAAGACTCATCTTTGAGAACTGGTGCGTCCAATTCAAATGCAGGATCCCTTATACGCTTGAACATCTTTTATTATTATCATCTTCATCTAACACGAAGATCACATCGAGAAGTGAAACCACGTCCTGCTATCAGACTAGCGGTTATATTTTTTTCTTTTTCTGACATTGGGACATCAACTAACTCTGCTAGTTTTTGATTAGCGGCTTGATTTATTATTTTGCTTACACTTGCGGGCATCACTTCAGTGCTGGGCAATTTCACTGGTTGAGGTCGGACGGGTTGTAGTTTGCGTACTAATCGCGTTAGTCTATCTTTGATCGCTGAGAATGCTTTGCTAGCAAGGTTACTAGCAGCGTCTATACCTTTTCACGAACAACATCAATAGCTTTCATACCCAGCTGCTTTGCAATAGGTATTACTTTTTGGGCTATTCTTATAAAAAGACCCTGAACAATATCACCTAGTCCATCTCTGTAGGTTGCTTTGTATACTGGTAATCGAGAGTTTATTACCCTAACCATGGTAGGTCCACGTTGAGCACCATGCACAATCATTTTATTATTTATTAGTCACTATAATATTCATCAGCAATTTCATTAATGAGAGACTGATACACATTAATATCCATAATACCTCCACTAAATAATCTTTTACAAATATCTGCTGCTTCATTAATAATTTCTGGGGAATTATTACCAGCTCGTTTTCCTCCAATGAGGATTTTTAGTCGTTCAATCAGCGAGAACATTATTGGGACAAGTAATAAGACCACTACCTAGACCACTTTCAGTTGCACCAGTAGGGTCTTGAAATACTTCTTCTTCCTCTTCAGTTGGTTTCGGTGGTAGTTTTTCCTGTTGTCGTTTTTGTTCTAGTTCTTGTTCTTGTTGTTGTTCTAAATATTGTTGTGATTTTTTCGTAGTCGTTTTTGTAGTCGTGTTACTGATTTTCCTGGTGATGGTCGTTCAGATTGTTGTGGCAGTACTTGTGGTGATCCTTATGGCGTTGATGATGATTGTGATTGCATTAGTTTTATTCTTTCTTGTTCAATAGTTTTTACATATTCATTAACTTATTCACCAAATCTGTTATAAGCTCTATATTCTTCACTAGATCTGATTTCTGGAGTATCAGTAGCGATGCGATATACATCCTTGATCCAATTTGCAGAGTTCAGAGATTTAACATACTCTGGTTTTACATATTTTTTTCTTTCATAATATCCAAACGCGGCAATATGAAATAATTGATTTTGGTCCTTGATAGCAGCAATACTTTCAGGCGTAAATTTATCCATTATCTTAGTTCTGGTTCTTGGTGGTCGAGGAGGTTGAACGGGTGGTGGCAGTGGTAATGGTTGAGCTTCTTGTGCACGAGCAATATCGGCAGGTAATGTTGCAAGAGCTTCTTGTGTTGCTTCGGTTGCTGTAACAATGTTTTTGTTGGTTCTACAATCGGTTTAAATAATTGTTTTGTTTCCTCCTCAAACTCAGTTAAATCTATCTGACGCAATTGTAATTGTTCTTTAACAGCATCACGAACAGGTAGATATTTTTTAA